GCCATGAAATTACTTCCTCGTCTTGCAATCCTCGGCTATCAATCACTCGATTCCCCGCGTCGAGAAGAAGGATACGACGGATCGTACCTTGAACCACCATCGTGCCTTGGTGGTAGCAGAGAAGCCCCGCCGCGAAGAGGTTCAGGATGTAGAGAGCCGGCCATCTCTTGTCTTCCTCCGCTCTCCCATCCCACGTGCTCTGCTCGTCGCCAGCGGGCCTAACCCAATCGCTCGGCGGCGGGTTGAGCAGATCGCCCGAGTCGCCCTCCGTTTTGCGTGTGTGGTCCGCCATTAGAGATCAAACTCGTACCAAGAAAAACAATGTGGAAATCTCTTGTTTTTTCTGGTGTAAATTTTGTGTAGATGAGTCACCAAAGGCCTCTCAAAGTGTTCCACGACGTGACAGGCCACCGCCATAGCATACTAAACTCACCATGGTGACAGAACTCCGGCCCTCTTGGGTTGCCCACGCCGGCCTCATCGCCGACGAAATTGTCTGGATGTGCAGAACATTTGGGGAGAGGACCTTCCCTACCACGGCACAATCCGGCGCCACTAGGTCAGCATCATCCTCGTCATCCAGAAGCACGGGTTGCACCTCCACCGAGCCGTTCCATCAATTCCTCAACATGGGTGGTAGGCCCCGATCGACCAGGTGGCGTTCCAGAGGTAGGAACTACTTCCGCCGGCGAACCAACACCGCCACCAGGAGCCGAGAAAATAGGCTACGGGGCAACACTCCCTACCGCCCCGGTAATCGCCGCCATCAGGACGCCGGCAGGACCACAACCAGCAGTTGCCAAGGGTGGGAAGCAATCCAAAGATCCTCGCTGGGTCACCCCGAACAGCTACAGAGCAGGGTCCAACCACGAACCACACCGGCGGGATTAGGGCGGATGGTGGAGAGGAAGAGAGATGGGTTGTAGCGATCACAACTACTCACCCAAAAGGAAGATCAAACCGTCAATCGCCATGGCACGAAAATTAACTTTCATACCATATAACTTTAGTATTTTAGATGTTGATATTTTTTCCAACAAAGTTGGTCAAACTTTACAAAGGTTGACTTTGACCAAATCTTATATCAGACTAAAAAGGGACGGAAGGAGTATATATCAACCGGCATCTTACCGTACGTACACGGGAATGTGGTGTTGCTGCTTTTAGATTGTGGAGGCCATGTGGCATCCATCCGGATGGGTATCACAAGCCTCAGAATGCTATCCAGTCTCATAGGAAATTTTTTTCCCTGATAGGCTTGCTAGCTACTTCTGGGCTTTTTGCACCCGCCACTGCTAGGCAATCCTGCAGTAGTGAGCAACCATCAACAACGAAGAGCAGGATGAGGTCCTCAGAGAATGTGCTCGAGTAATCCAAGCTCGATGAGTTCAAGGAGTGGGAGGGCCTTGACATGCAGCTCGCCTTGTCGACACCGCCGTCCCCGAGCCGGATGGGGTGGTAGTGGAGGAGATGCAGGAGTAGCCGACCTGGAACCCGACGCTAGTGGGGCAGTCCAGGTCGTGGACGACGACCACGGCCATCACGCCGGAGAACGTGTAAGGCCAACTCCACCGCGCGACCCTATCCTGTCCGCTCCCGTCCGTTTGGGGCAAAACGGACAAATCAGACGGCCCAGCGAGCGGGCGCAAACGGACTTTTGTCCATTTTGTGTCCGCTTTCGACCCATCCCCGGCCCAAACTTGGTCTGGTTTTGGGGTCAAAGCGAACAGAATGCGGACGTTTTCCTCGCCCGTGCGTCCAGTTGCGTCCGCGCATGCAGATGATGGCCCCATCTGTCATCGAAACAAAAAAGGACCCACCATCCACCCACCCATCTCTCTCTCATCCTTTTCACCCACCATCCCACCAACCACGCAAGGCCGGCGCGCATACGCACGGCGTGGCGGGCGGCGGGGAGAGGCAAGTGCGGCGGGGCGGGCAGGCCGCGGTGGCGCAGGCGAGGGCGCGCAGGCCGCGGTGGTGCAAGCAAGGGTGGGCAGGACGCGGTGGCGCGGCGGGTGGGGGTGAGCGGCATGTACGGCGGGGCGGGCAGGCCGCGGAGAGCTCGGCTGCGGCAACAGCAGCACGGAGCAGGGGGCGCGGTGCGGCTGCGAGCGCGGCGAGCAGGCGTGGCGAGGTCGCGCGGCGCGGCCCGACGGCGAGCACGGCAAGCGGGCATGGCGAGGTCACGGTGGCGGGCGCGCGCGTCGCGCGGCAGAGCGAGCGGGCGTGGCGACGTCGCTGCGACGAGTGGGGAGCGACGGCCAGGCGAGGCGCGGCGACGAGAGCATGCGACGCGTGCCTCCGGGCTAGCTAGCTAGCTTCAGGCATGCGAGCGTGCGTACATGCCGGCGAGCTTGCTAGCTAGCGAGCCACTGCGGCCGTGTGCACGTTCCGCGTGTGGGCTAAGCTAGCGAACCGCTACGCGTGCGGGCTAGCTAGCCAGCCGCTGCCGTCGTCACGGCAAGCGACGGGCGACACGACGAACGGCGAGCGCGGCGGGCGGTCGAGCTGCGACGCGCGTGCGGTTTGTTGCTGACGGGCGAGCACGGCGCGCGGACTGCTGCGGTCGGCCTGGCGAGCGGCGGCCGCTTGGGAGGGTGAAGCCGGCTGTCTTTTATGTGTTTGAAGAAATGACCGAGCAGGACAATATTTGGGATGGATGTGCTGCGGTGGGCCCTCGGCCGACGCAAATCCAAATCCTTATGTGTTTGAAGAAATGACTGAGCAGGACAATATTTGAGATGGATGTGCTGTGGTGGGCGCTCGGCCGACGCAAATCCAAATCCGGACGGACACGACCCTATTGGCACCCTCAAACGGACAAAATCCGAACAAAGCGTCCAAACTGTTTGGGATCGTGCGGTGGAGTTGGCCTAAGGCTCGGCATTGTGGGTCGGCGCGAAGACGTGGTCACTACCGCGTCAGACACCACCGCAGGTGCCGCCCACCTGTGGCAGGCTGGCAGGCATCAACTTTTGACATGACTACTGAGGTGGCGCTGCCCAATCAACTTTGACTTCAGTCAAAACCAGTTGACCATGCCAAAACAAGACTACGGTTGTCTTTTAAACTTTGTGCTAAGTTGAGGGTGTTTCAAACCAGTGGTTAGTTTGAGGCTGCGATATGGACTTTTCTCGTAGGGAAAAGAGTCAGACGGCCCCAATTATAATATAATTTCGAAAAGGCAAACCGCCTGGAATGCTGACGCAAAAAAGTTCTGAGACGAATGACAGAATGAGACAGACTGAAGATAGCAAAACAAACACAGAATTTAGCATCCACAACAAGTCCGTTCTCCTCTTGCATTCCATTGGAGCATGAAGGTGTTCTGCCCTATGTTTAGGGGCATCAGAAGACTGACAAGTCAAGAAAACGCATACTCCCCCCGTTCGGAATTACTTGTCTCGAAAATGGATGTATCTAGAATTAAAATATGTCTAGATACATCCATTTCTGCGACAAGTAATTCCGAACGAAGAGAGTACTAGAAAGTAATATCATCAAACATATCACACCATATTCACAGGTAAGCATCAAACTGCCGCCATCTGGACTCTTCCAACACTTCATTGCGGCAGCAACAAGAAATGAAGTCCAACCAAGTCTCCACAGCTCCTAGGAGCCACGCACAAGTTGCCTGAAACCAGAGCAGCGGTCCTTCACATGAGCAGGCATAAAAGAGAACACATACCAGAGTGAAATCAACTGCAAAGCTAAAGCAGAGGCTAGGCCTATCAAGTACTCCCTCTGTAAACTGATAATACTATAAGATCTTTTTTACATCACTACTTTAGTGATCTAAAAGGTCTTTATATTTGTTTACAAAGGGAGTAAATAGTAATTACATGCACTTGTGTGCAAGGCACTTGATTCCTCTTTGATTGCTGTGCAAATGTCACACAAATCCCAAGAAGGGTTGTGCCATATATAATGTGCCACCTAATACTACGAGTAAATCTTCCATCAAGGTCTATCCGCTGGACTCAGATGCAAGACTAAGAGAGGCAGGCTACTGATCATGCAACTTCATATCCTGGCAATACTGGTGCAGCTAAAGTTACAGCTATACCTAACACAGATTATTCAGTTTGTGTTCTCTCAGTGTTTTATTACATCTAATCCCTTGAATTGTCCTCAAGAAGAACATATCAACAAAGAAAGCTGCTACCAAATGCAACTCCTGAAGCTCTAAAAACGAAATCCCCCGTGCAAGTTTATCCATTGGACACGGTACCCAGGTGAGGCAAACCTGGAGTTTGCGCAGGAAATGAAAATATGCATATGAAGAGCTGTCAGGGACATGAATCCCAACGGTTTCCGAAACTCTAATGCTAAACAAACTCTGGAATGATTTATAGGAAGGGAAGGTTCCTTCACCAAGATGAAGAAGGCATCCATTTGGAATTTATTCAAGCCTTGCAATGAGAATTATACATATGTTTTTGCCAGGGGCATTTCTTGAGCATCATGCATGTACCATCAGCTATCACAACTTCACAGTTTTCACTTACCTAAATCAGAACAAACGCTAGTTCTTCCATTTGCTCGGGATGTAGATTTCTGCCCATGCTTTGCTTGTAGGCGAACTGCCAAGCAAATAGATTCTTACCACCACAAGTCACTCGAGCAACACCTTTGCCAATGGCACATATGGCTCTAGGTAACCCACGACATGAAGAAACCATCTAGTACCAAATAAATTACAAATTAGTGCACCAACAATGATTAGAAGTGTAGCTATAAAATATTCAACAGAAATACACCTGTTTTGCATAATCGTAAATTTCAGCATCAGCTTCTGTGATTTTGACTCCCGCGTGGTACTTGAAAAGTCTCCAAGCATCTTCGTTCCCGAGGCACTTCATCTGCATAATATTTGATATCGGGCATCCCATGCGTTCACACATCATCTGGTTCCTCGATGTAAAAACAACCTTCTGATGACACCCAAGAGGAATCGGCAAACCAACAGCTACCAAGTCTGGGTAGGGTCTATCATGCACGTTGTCTAATAGAAGCAAAAAACTGTCTTGCACTAGAAACTCAGTGATGATCTTAGCTCGGCGATGCTCCGGTAACGACGACATCTTCTCCCAATCCAATTTCAATAAAGAAGCAAGATGATGTTGCATAACTCTCACACTACTGCCACCATCAAGAAATAATATGTGACAGAATGAATCGGCATAGCTAGCAGCAATGAGTGAAAGAAGTCGTGTCTTGCCAACACCCGGCGTGCCCCATAATCCAAAAAAAGACTCATCCTGCCGCACACTCTGTAAAAACTGATGCACCTTATTCTTGTAAATGTCCATCCCCCAAAGGCCATGAATTCGCGACACTATCTCCCAAGCACGAATTGGGGTTTCTAACACTGCTCGCTGATCAGAGATCTTTGCCTGATTAACAGAACAAGCACCAAACTCCCACATCAGAATGCCGAGTTCGCAAATGTTGACACTAACCTGATTCAAAGAACAACATGGTCAGTAAGCTGGGTAGGGGGCAGCTTATTTTGGCAGCCACCCATAAGCCCCAAAAGAACTAGCCCTAAGTCACACGTGAAAAAGCACTTCCTAGTTTGCATGAGTGGGAAAGAAGTCAATTAGATTATGAAAAAAATTAAATATGAAAGGAAGAATGACACGTATGCTAGAGAGCCACATCTTAGTAAACTATAAACCATGGAGAAGGCATACTAGATGTAGAAGACACATGGAAGTAAAGTTATCAGTGTATAATCACCTACATAATACTCCCTCAATCCAAATAAGTGTCGCAGTTTGAATTAAGGTTAGTTCAGTCTTAATTCAAAGCTGCGACACTTTCTATGGATCGGAGGGAGTAATATAATACACATAATATGGCATGAAATGCATCAATTGTTGTGGGAGGTTAGTGAAAATGAGTATAGTGTTGGGCCTCTCATCAAAGTGGCGACATGCTCGATATGTGGGGCGACTCTTATTTGTTCAGACATGGATCGACAGATTATCATACCTGTATCTTGGGCACCCAGAGGCAGATCAACTTGGGCACCAACAAGCAGACCATGAAAGTAAGCTTTAGTTGATGATGCACTGGAGCCATGCGTCTGAAATGGGAGAAATTGTCAGATCATGCAATAATCAAAATTATACTCTTCGCTTGACATAAAACATGCACTGCATATGGTTGAATAGTTGATACATAAGAGTATTATTAGAACACCTTGGTCAGCATAACAATCACAGTATAATTACAGGCCAATGGAAACTCTGGTGATGGACAAAATGTATAAGCAAATGAAAGCAATGAAACATGGCATAGTCGAAACCGCAATGAAAAATGTATGGCAAACTTATTCAAGAAAGTGGCCGGTCCCAAACCCGGGTAAAGGAGGAGGGTTGTGAAAGACTTGGTGAGCCAACGTCAAAACTCAGCCACTCTTATGGAGATGAAACCCAAAAGAAAATGTATCACCAAAGAACTAGCCATGGACAGGGGTGCATGTAATTGCTATCCATGTGCCAGAACCATGACTTGGTTGCGAGATCTTATGGGTTTCAGCTCTAGCCTACCCCAACTTGATTGGTGCTAAAAGCTTTGTTGTTGTTGTAAAATTATGCAAGACAGTGGCGTTAAAAAAATCGATGATTGTTAAATAAATATATATCCAATAAATGCTTCAAATATATTGTGTGGATCATGGATGTCACACTCCCCATCTCGAAGCACATGCCCTTCACCACACAAACAAAAAACCATGTTGCATGAGCAAATCCCACCTTAATGTGGTGAAATTGTTACCAGAACTACAATGAATGATGAACCACAAAGATTCGGAAAGGAAGGAGGTAAGTATTTGTTGGACAGATTTTTTTTTGAGAAAACGCAAAAGACTTGCGTTTCTTTGTATTGAAAAGATAGAGTTTGTTACAGCCTCCGAAGAGGAGCGGTTACAGTCAGCGATCTAAATCAGTGGACATCCCAGGTTTGTGGGAGGACGGCACGCAGGCCACGGGCGCCAGCCCTTGCCCAGAGCTTAGCTTCATCCTTGATTCGCGCAATCAGTGAATTGGTCGAAGGGGTTGCGCCGTTGAATACGCAGTCATTGCGAATTTGTTGGACAGATGCTCACCAGATTAATTTTGGTAAAAACTAGTGTGCGCAGTTGAATCAAATTCCACTTAACACATAAAAAACTAGAAGTACAGATAACCATGCAGTCTATGGAATTATCAGTTCATACCTTTCTAGTTCAATTGGCCTTGTCTTTTTTGCTAACATGAGAATCAAAAAAAGAGGTACCATCGAAGCACATAAATGACCAAGAGTATGCCCACTAACAATCTGAAGAGTCCACCTATAAATTCGTTTGTCCGCAACCTCTTCTAATCTAGCAAGGATGTACAATCCTGAAATTATTTTGAAGAACAGAAAAAAAATCAGATTGTACAATTTAGGTCATATTAGATTGCACTTTCAGTAAGAGCTAACATAAGTTCATGTCTTGTGAGGAAACTAACTATAAAAAAACACAACAGTAAATTGAGGTTCACAAATAGCAACCTACACAAATAATGAAAATGCATGCATTATATTGAGAGGAACAACACTAACCTGCTGCCCATAACCAGTAGCTTGTTGATGCAAGGGACTTTGGTCTTGCCCAATCATCCAAATTTTCAATAACGAAAATGACCTCAAAAAATGTGAAAGCGGTCACCATCTTGACAAAAAGACCATTATGTAATCCGTCAGTATATTAAATATCACGAAATTAGGAACAAGAAGGTGCTGAATGTTATATCTACCACATAGAAGGTCTAGGGAAGACTTACTGGCAATCTGTGCAAAAATAGGGTGCCATTTTTTGGGTTGAGATGGTAATAGCATGAACCAAAGCCAGAAGCAATGACAGTAGCAAAGAGTGTGTAGAGATCCCCCTGTGACCTGCCAGTAGGATAAACATTAGAGTGCTTCAAATCTTAATTCGAGTTAAAACAGGAACCAAAAATAGCATGAGCATTAAGTCTGCACCATATCCTGAAATAGCTTTTGCAGTGGTTAAGGATGAGCCCGGCGAGACCGACAAAAAAGAGGGGGATTGTTGATATAACATTCAGCGTATTAGGGATCCCTGCAAATAAGGCATAAATGCTATTCGTGGTTATCAAGAGTATTAAACCATATAACTTTACATCAGACTTTCCTTGTACAGAAAAAAAAATGTACATGATTTATTCTATATGCAGAGGGCACAGGTACTTGGTGTTGATAATCAGAATCATTTATTTTGAATGGAGCTTAACTTAGCTGAATCTACTCTTCAAAAGGAAAACTGATAATGGGACAGAGAGCGTGAACCAGAGGTTAATTACCAAGGAAAAGTGTGCGTTGGTCAGCAAAGTCATGGTAGTCCTCGTCATGCGGGATGGCGGCCATGACAAGCATGAGCATGATGAATATGCCTGTACATGCCACCCACTTCTTCCTACTCACCACATCCATCCACGCCACCACCCACTTCTTCCACCAACTTACATCCTTCACAGCCACCTTGCGGTTATCCTCACAAGCTTGTTGCTGTTTAAGACGATTGAGCGAAAGTAGTTTGAGATCAGACGATGACGGCACCCAGTTCTTCCTTCTGTTCACATTGTGGTTTTTTACCCAAACTAGTCGCGGATCAAGTGGCACAAACACGTCTTCATTTTCCATACCATAATTTGTCACCTGAAGAGTATAGCAATTTCATTGAATTTTCATGATACTATTCTGCAAGTTTGTTCTAAAGGGAAAAACATTGAATCCGCTTATATCCAACCATTTACAAGAAAACAATATAAGGACCAAAGGTAACAAAGAAAGTAAGCCGCATAGGTAATAAGCTGAGTTCAAGTTGCGTCATTAGAAAAAAAAAATCACATGTTGAATCATGGTGTACTGGTCCCTCCGATCCATATTACTTGTGGCTAAAACGGATGTAACTAGCACTAAAATAGATGCTGCATAACAAGACAAGTGGATCAGATAAGTGACAGCGGGTAGGAACCGATATCTTTGAAGCATGCTCATCCATTCTTGCTAGTCTTGTGACCTTATCCCAAGCAAACCCACCTGCTCACATCCATTTGGAGTAATGTACACGACCCCTTATACTACCATATGTAGATTATATCTAATTTAATGCAGAATAGCGGATCACATTGACTGTCCATGCCAAAGTACGGTATGGACAGACATCAATTTTCACACGTTTTACAGTCCAAAGTTTACTACACAGACCACCGTGAGCCCTATGCCGTCATCACTTATGCTATTCTCAAACACTCAAGACAAATGTACTGCCTAGTTTATCACTACAAAATTATACAGGCTACATACATATACAGTGAGACAATTACTAACACTCAACTATACACATAAATTGCTACTCCAGTATAGCAGATTGAACAAGATTAACAGTGATTCGCCCATCTATGAAGCGAGGTATTCCATTCCGTCCAATTTAAAGGAGTGCAGGCACGGTAACAGTAAGGTAATTAAACCAGGGTCAAAGAACAAGATACCGTGGAGGATTTCCAACGTCCTTTGAGCCTTGAGAAAGATGAGGTGGGCTTCCCCAGCCGTGAAGGGATCGGCGGGGACAGATCTGGCGGCGTCATGGGGTCGGCTCTGTCCCCCTCCCCGATGTCTTGAAATCGGCTGCCTTGCACTGTCGCGTCACCGGAGCCGACGGCCTCCATCATCCCCGCGCGCTCACCGCCATACCAGGAAGCAGGAAGGAAAGGAAGGAGGTAGGGTGGCGTCGTCCGGGACAGAGGAGGGCATCGGGTGGCTGCAGTCCGGCGGCGGCGGCAGCTGACGAGGGCGTCAGGGTCGCGTCGTCAATGGCTGCGGCTGGGCGAAGTCTGGTGGCTGCGGTCAAGTAGGGAGGAGTGTGTCTCTGCGGCGGCGGGGCGGCGGCGAGGGCTGCTGCTAACCCTAGGAGCGAGGGGAATCGAGAGTCGTCTGGTAGGTGCCGGTTCGGTCGAGACTTGCGCCGTCCCAGGTCGAAAGGGGATTTTGTATTTTTTTTTTCTTAGGAGTGAGGTGTTTTGGTGGCCGAGCTGTTTTTTTTTTTTGAGACACTCTTGCTAAGTTTTATTAATCTTCCAGAACGTTTACAGGTATGAAAGGAATTTCCCCCAGATGGCCTAACCAGACAGGGCGACCAAATCGAAGGATTAAAGTATGCTTAGCAAGACTGTGAGCCTCGAAATTCGAGCTCCTATACTCGTTGACTATGTTACAAGATGAGAAAATCCTCGAACGCTCTCTTATTTGTGCACTATAGCTCCATAAGTCGCTGATGAGTTGTGCGTGATGTCCTTCACCACCGTCAGGCAATCCGACGCAATTTGAATCTGCGTAACAAAAAGATCCTCTGCAATTGACAAACCCTCACGTATTGGCAAAGTTTCAAGAGTGGTTGGTTTTGTAATATATCTGAAAATGATTGCAGAGGCTCCAAGAAAGTTACCTCCTTGATCTCTGCCAACTACAGCCACCGCTCCTTGAGTACCATCATTAGTAACGGCAGGGTCTACGTTTAGTTTAACAACTCCATCAGGCGGGGGCTGCCATACTTGTTGCCTAGTTGGTACTCTCCCGCTAACACCTGAAGCTCTGCTATCAATAATGTCAAGGTCCCGAAGAAAAGACTTGGTGAAGGAATTAATTGCAAATGGGGTTTCAAAAATATCTTCATGTATGGCCTTTCTTCTCGATTGCCATATCTCCCATAACGTGACCACCATGTTGGTGAACTCACCATACAGCAGCTTGTCATGCATCTGGAACAACCAGTTCTTCGCGTTCATCGTCAGGTTATCAACCATACACTCCATTGTTTCTTCCGAAGTCTGCGACCAAACTGCTCTTGCCATAGCACAATCTATTAGGGCATGTTTCCAGTTATCTTCAGATGCACATAAAGCACAAATCCGTGTAGTGGACATGTGCCGATGGTTCAAAAGGTCCGCTGTTGGTAGCGATTCATGACATAATCTTCATAGAAAAACCTTCAGTTTTGATGGTACCTTAATATTCCATAGGGCCGACAAGTCTCGAGCTTCCCTCATGGCATCTGTCGTGGAATTGTCACGGCAGATGTCCTCATGGAAGGACTTAGTCGTGGAGCCATCGCAACTAGGAAGCTTAAAGTGGTTAATCGGGACAAGGGACACGAGAGAGTTTATACTAGTTCGGCCCCTACGATGAAGGTAAAGCCTACGTCTAGTTGGGTTGGTATTGCTAGGGTTTCGATGACCAGGGAGCGAGATACGCTATGCCTGGCTCTCGATGAGATGTTTTTTGCCCTAAGCCACCAGCGGGTCGTCCCCTTATATACACGGGGTGACGCCCTGCGGCCTACAGAGTCCCGGCCGGCTCATAAACAGTGTCCGGCTCGGTGACTAGTTAAATCTGCCTTATGATACAAGTCATGCCATTACGGCGGTTTACCACTATGGACCTCAAGTCGCCTGTGGGCTTTAGACCCTTTATTGAACCACCATCTTCATGCTTGGTCTTGGGCTTCATCTGATGAATCCTTCTTTGTGTAACCCGGCCCCTCATGGGCGGCTTACACAAATAGTTATATCCCCAACAGCATCCGATTGGCCTCCAACCTGCTCCAATACATCCACATTCTGAAGTTTTAGTTTCATCAAAAATCTGTAGACCGAACTGATAGAAAAAAAATGCCTCTGTCATCCTCTCCCCATGCCCAAAAGTCATCAACTCTCCTTGTACATAAAGGTATTCTCAAGATAACTTCTGCATCCGCCGGGAGAAAAACAGCACGAATCTTTTCTTCTCTCCAAACAGCAGATGATGCATCTATTAGTTCAGAGCCTAGCAGAGTTTTATCATTCACCAGGGCTACAATGGCTTCATCAGCCCTGATCGGGGCAACCAATTCTGCTCCTAGATCCTAGTGTCCTCTCATGTACCAATTCTTCTTATTAAGCCTTTTGATAATGCATCTCTCCCATCTAAAATTGCCCTCCAAATCTGAGAAGGGTTGCTTCCAAGATCCGCTTCAAGCAAGGAAACAGTGGGAAAATACTTCGCTTTTATAACTCTCGCACTCGAAGTCATGGGGACTTGTAGAATACGCCAAGCTTGCCTAGCCAGAAGAGACAAGTTAAAAAGTTCTATATCCCGGAAGTCGAGGCCTCCCAAGTGTTTTGGCTTAGTGCAAACATCCCAAGATATCCAGCAAGGTTTTCTCTTCCCCCTCTTGTTTCCCCACCAGAACTGCCTTATCATTGAAGTGACACTTTCACAAATGCCTCTAGCTAGCCTAAAACAAGACATTGAATAAACTGGAATTGCTTGGGCTACTGCTTTAATCAGAACTTCCTTACCCCCATAAGACAATAATTTCTCCATCCAACCTTTAATCTTTTCCCACACTCTATCCCTCAAATACTTGAAAGTGTCGTTCCTTGAGTGTCCCACATCAGTAGGCATCCCCAGATACCTATCAGTAAGCTGTTCATCATAAACTTGAAGGGTGTTTTTAATGCTGTCCCGAGCTGACTGAGGGCACCCCTTGCTGAAAAAAATTGTAGACTTCTCATTATTCACTCTCTGGCCTGAAGCATTGCAATAGGTGTTCACCAAGTTTGACACAATCCCAGCCCCCTCTGCACTCGCCTTGAAAAGCAACAGGCTATCGTCCGCGAAGAGCAAATGGTTAACAACCGGAGCAGTTGGTGCCACTTGGACTCCCACAAAAGCTGACGACTGAGAAATGGATTTTAGTAGGCACGAAAGGCCCTCCGCTGCTATCAAGAAAAGATAAGGAGAGATCGGGTCTCCCTGCCGAATACCGCTCATGGGTTTAAACTGTTCTAGCTTCTCACTGTTCAGTAACATTGAGAAAGAAACTGATTTAATCATACTCATGACCACAGTGATCCAAGACCGTGCAAAACCAAGCTTGACCATGATAACCTCCAAATATGACCACTCAAGCCTATCATAGGCCTTCATCATATCTAGTTTTAGTGCACACTGGTTGTTGCTCTTAGCCCTGCTTCTCTTCATGAAATGAAGGCACTCATATGCAGTAATTATGTTGTCAGTGATAAGCCTGCCAGGGACAAAAGCTGACTGCTCTTCTGAAATAATGTCTGGTAGGACTTGCTTCAACCTGTTTGCAATCACCTTTGAAGCAATCTTGTACAGAACATTACATAAACTAATAGGACAAAATTGAGCTATTAAAGTTGGGCTCATTACCTTAGGGATCAATACAAGGAAAGTATCATTAATACACTTCGGACTTTCCTCTCCCCTGATAATTCGAAGTTCCGCCTTTGTCACTTCCTCCCCACATACATCCCAATGTCGCTGATAAAAATGTGCAGGAAAACCATCGGGTCCCGGAGATTTTGTGGGAAGCATTTGATACAGGGTGGTTTTAACTTCTTCATCTTTGTATTCAACACATAGAATTGAGTTCATGGCCGTTGTTACTTTCGTAGGAATGTGATCTAGCATAGCCTCCATATTTGTTACACCCTCTGAGGTGTACAGATTCTTATAAAAATCCGTGACTAACCTTTTTAATTATGTCGGGTCATCAACAATGATTCCCATGGAGTTCATCAGAGCTTTTATCATATTCTTCTTCCTCCTCATATTAGCCCTCGTATGGAAAAACTTTGTGTTCTTATCACCTGCTTTCAGCCAGTCAATTCTGGATCGCTGTCGCCAAAGTAGTTCTTCGCGGTGATATAGTTCTACTAGTCCTTCATTCAGTTTGAGTTCTGCATGACTTGGACCCGTCCTAGCTAGGTCCTTTCTCATCTCATCAATCTCCTTCTTTAAGCTGTTCATCTCCCTTCTAACTGAGCCAAAAGTCCTTCTGTCCCACCTCTTCAGACTGTTGGAAAGCTCAAACAATTTTTGTTTAATTTCCTCCGCTCTCGAGCAAGGTTGGGAAGCAGCCCAGGAAGACTCAATGGTCTCTTTCAGATTATCATGTAACTCCCATGCTATCTCATAGCGAAAAATTGAACTTTGAATTCTCGTTACCTCGTCTCCTGTATTCAGCTCAAGGCGAATAGGGCCATGATCCGATGTGGCTGTTGTTAGATTAGTCAGGCTCGCTAGAGGAAACTGGGAATTCCACGAAGGAGAAGCAAGGGCACGGTCCAACCTTACCCTGGTAAAAGAACCACCCGTTACCTTTTCCTCGAAAGTCCAGAATCTGCCTTTGAAACCTATATCCAGCAACATACAAATGTCCAATGCGTCACGAAAACCTTGGATATGTGCATTACTCCTTTCTCCAATCCTCTCATGTTCATCCGGACGCAACACTTCATTGAAGTCTCTAATACACAGCCACGGTAAGTTGTTCAAACTTGATATATTTTCCATAGTGTCCCAGGTTTGATGTCGCAAGTGTGTCTGAGCCTCTCCGTACACCACTGTCATCCTCCAAGGATCAAATCCCGGGTCCCTTACTTCACAATCCACATGATAAACAGAGTAACCAACAATATCAATCTTTATTGAATTATTCCAGAAATTCCAATACCACCACTTCTACCAGTACTACTTAAAGCATAACAATTGTCAAAACCTATTGAAATTGCTAAACCTTCCACCCTACTTCTTTCCACTTGAGTTTCTACGATACAAAGTATGGTGGGCGTAAATTCCTTCACGAGCTCGTGAAGTTCGCGAA